TGCATAAACAAATCCAGAGGTTTTTGTTCTTGTTTTGTAGAGCAGCCGAGAAATTTTTTCAAAGACAAAAAAAAAAACTCCTGAATTACCTCATCAGCTGTTCACATGTACGGCTAATCCACCTCGTTTTTTGTTCACGCATTTCTTTAAAGCTCTGTCTGATTGAACACTCAGGAAGCCTGACCGAATTTAAGTCTATGATCCCGGAGCCATGTTTCAGTGAAATGGTAGATTCCCAGCGTTCTGGCTAGTTATTTGCTAGTGCTTTGAATTTGTCCCAAAGACTGTACATTTTCACGCTATTCATCAATAAGTGGTTTAGATTTATAACTACTCCTATAATTTTTCAGATGATATGATATATTGGTTGATGTTTTATTCACATTTCTTTCCAATATAAATACTCACAATATCCTGAAAATAGATTGCCTGGAAATTATCTTTTTTAATTGACTTTTAAGTGGCACATCTCCAGCAGCAGCTGTATTCCGTTGGCTGATCAGTAGACATGGGTTATAGCAGCTGTCTTTCTAAGTCTCAGCCACTGTTAGATTATCATTGCCAGTCATTTTCTGTAACAAGATGTTAAAAACAGCAATATAGTGCCTGCTTCGTTGTGTGACTCAAGACCACAACATTTTTTCTATGAATATCCTACAGCCCTCGTCTTTCATTGTTTGTCTACAATAGACAATACACCAAACATAAAAGAGTCAATGGTGGTATGCAGTACTGGGAATAGGAGAGAATGGCTGCTTGCTTTAAAACCCTCATGTATAACCATCGCCATGGGTAACACCATGCCTTCTAAAACACAATTTCATATATCCTTTCATACATGAGTTATGATAAACTCAGTCAGGATTTTGTTTTACTATTTGTTTTATAGACCCTTAACAATGTAAAACAATGTTCTAATGTTCTTAATGTTTTTTTATATCTTTATTCTATGAAGAAATATTTACCTGTCCACTCAAGAGTACTTTATTCATTTTATACTGTAAAAAAATCTATATACAAACAAAGATGTTGTATAGATATAGTTGTAATTTAGTTTTACAGTTGTTATATGGTATTCTGTTGGAAAGGTGTTTTCTCTACTCCCCTGTAGAAACTGAAATAGACAAGGTATTTGGACTTTTCCTTGTGTGTCAGCCAGCGTTTAATGTCCTCCACTGTCTGAAATGTTTAATATGACGAATCTACTGTACAGGTGTCAAAATGTGCAGCTGATGGTAGTGACATGACAAGCAATCAATAACATTTCAAACATTATTGTCGTTGTCTTCAGGCTGTCAACCGTATTAATACAGATATTAAATTACTACATACAGAAGGGTCGTATTTACTTGTTAGGCAAGTTGGCAGAGTGCATCACATATTTTTAAAACAAAATGGAAAAATCAATTCCATTAAAGTTTGATGTTAAAAATAAGTTTGAAATTAAGAATGTCATTAGTCAATAAACTAAAGACGTCAAGAAAATCTAGGAGGGTAGATGAAATCAACAGTTATTTTCTAACTAATGAGTTAAGATTTTGTGATACCTCAACCAAATAACCTCTCCC